AAACAAGGAGGGAATTGGCCATGAGTATACATGGGGCAATCCCATCAATGGCCAAGACCCAGACACTATAAAACCCAGCTCCCGGAAGCGCACGGCTGCATTTGCTGCCGCGAGACATCTTATTATCTCATTCTTACTTGGACAAACTGGCAGGCTACTGAATGTAACCTGCCCACATGGCAGAGTCTGGCAAACTCCCCGTGGCGTACCCAATATGCCAAATACCAGTAACAATGATGGGTCTCATTCTCCTAACCCTGAAAGAGCCTTGAATATGGCACTCTTTAAAAACCTCAGGGCTAGGACGAAGGAGACGTTACTGGTGCCTGCTCAAGACAATCGATGAACAATAGGATGGTGTGATCGTGATCGTGATACATGGGGTGGGAGGGTTGAGGGGCTGGCAGGTATGTTCCAGGTGAAGTACAGAACCCCAGGGAAGAAATCTCCCTGGCCCCGTGGGGTGCTCCAGGGATGCCCCAGGGATACTCTGGCATGACTGGAGCCCCGGGAATGAAGGGGCATGTTGGAGATGTGTCGGGGAGGAGGGGTCTGCTTCTCTCGGGCTCAGTCAGTCCAGGCATTTAAGCAGCTGAGTGATGTGATCTGACTGACTTGAAAAGCATCAGGGCCGCAGTAGGGAGACAGGGAGAGCTTCCAGTCGAGGGGACTGCAGCTTGGATAGTGGGGGAGGAGGTTGGGAGAGGTGGATGCATTTTGAAAGGAGATTTTAAAATCTCCGTGGGCCACTTGGGCCGTGGAGGTCTTGGGGGGGGGGGGGGTTAGGCCCAAGTAACTGACAAGCAGGTTTTGTAGGTGACAGGTTAGAGCCTAGCTTAGGGTGTTGAAGTCTGGGATGTTTAGAGATTCCACCTTACTCACCCTGGTCACTGTGATTATGGGTAATAAAAAATCTTACTTAAGAACTGAGGAGGTAACTCAGAGGCCCTGAGTGTGGCTACCTGTTCCCCTCGTCCCCTTGCAGCGTTGGGTGCAGTCCAGAGGCCCCCAGCGCTGCTAAGCCTCAAGCAGCATATTGTTGCAGATCTCCAAGTTCTGTCCAGTTGAGTGAGTATTGCCAGACATGACCTATTGGGAGATGGGTCCTGTCACAGAGCATGCATCTTGCACATGTGAGGTTCTGAGTCCAACTCCGGGGCCGTGTGCCCCAGAGCAGTGCTGGGAGAGGCCCCTTCAAAAACTAAGAACTTATTTATTGAACCAGAATAAAGCGAAGCTTCTATTTTGCGTTCCCTGCTTATCTCAGATTCATTTTTTTAAACATGTTCAAAATTTCTAGTTTTTATTGAACTAGTACCTACTTAGATGTGAGCAGGGAGAAGGAAAAGAGAGCAAACTTGAGAGAGCAGGCCGGCCAAGAGACTTAGAAAGGCGCACGTTCAGGGAGAGACTGGGTTTGAGGAGAAAGTGAGCGGGTGTTGAGATACTCGGACAGCAAGCGAGAGGCGTGTTCCAGAGAACAGGGCCTTGGGAGAGCAAGGTACGGGCATGTTACTTGAGAAGTTGAACATTTCCTGAGTTTCCTGACATGGATGTGAAATCACCATCATGATCATGATCATGATCATCCTGTTGTTCGTCGATTGCCTTGAGCAGGCACCAGTAACGTCTCCTTCGTCCTAGCCCTGAGATTTTAAAAAGTGCCATGTTCAAGGCTCTTTCAGGGTTAGGAGAATGAGACCCATCATTGTTACTGATATTTGGCATATTGGGTACACCACGGGGAGTTTGCCAGACTCTGCTGTGTGGGCAGGTTACATTCGGTAGCCTGCCAGGTTGTCCAAAGTAAGAATGAGATAATAAGATGTTGCGTGGCTGTAAATGCGGCCGTGTGCTTCCAGGAGCTGGGTTTTGTGAAATATTAGATGCTTCCTCCCCACCCCCATTTATTTATTTGTTTGTTTGTTTTGGGGCCACACCCTGAAACGCTCAGGATTTCCTCCCAACTCTGTGCTTAGGGACCACTCCTGGCAGGCTCTGGGGCACCAGGGATCGAACCCGGGTCGGCTGGGTGCAAGGCAAGCACCCTACATGCTGTACTGTTGCTCTAGCCCTTCTTTTTCCTTTTTTTTTTTTTTTGACAGAAAAGTTTTGTTTCTTCAGTTATTTATTCAGGGAGTTTTCAAGTCGTCTTGATGAGAGAAAATAAAAAGTATTTTCTCTCCCCTGGTAGAGTGTCATTGGTTCTTGAAGTTTCTAAGGAAAACAGTTCACTGTGAGGTAGAAATGATCTGAGAACACCCTTCTACTCCCATCTTCTGCTGCCAGCCCTGTGATTCCCATTTCCTGCAGGCAGACTGTCAGGTGTAGCAGAATTGTCTTAAGGGGGAAACAGTGTTGCAAGTGAGCCAGGGACTTGAGGCACAGAGTTGTTGTGTGTGAAGGGAGGCACTGGGGCCTTGGGGACTGCAGGGTTCAGAGGCTGCGTGCCCAGACCCAGAGTGGCCGCATGCACCTGCATGGTGCTGTGCTATCTCACTCCACAAAGGCGAGCAGTTTCCAGCTGCGGCCCAGCCCAGGGGTGTGGGGGCCACACTTCACAGCATGCCATCCCCAAACCTGCAGGTGCCACCATTAAACGAAAGCACTACAGCCCCTGGTGGGCACCTTGTGAGCCGTCAACCTATATGTGCGTGAGCACCACTAAAGAGGGTAACCCTCCCTGAGCACTGTGGGAGCACCACAAGCACCACCCACCGTGGCCCCCACACCCAAGCATGTGCAATTCCCCTTCAGCAAGAGCATGGAAAGGAAGGAAGAGCATGGGGGAGTGGGCGGGGAGAGTCAGCCTGGCCCTCCTAAGGAGTGCCGAAGCATTTTTATGTTGACACCAGCAAATAGTTTGTTTTGTCCTGTGCCAGTGCCTTTAAAGTTAGTATCTTTTAGCACTCATTTTCACAAGTGCTTCCTCTGCTGTGGGTTTATGGTGGTAACAGTGCCCTTTTAACACTGACCTATGCTTCACAGCAGAGAAGCAATTTTATTTTACATTAACATTATTACCATGATTCTGGCCTCTGGGATTTCAGGAGTGTAACAGAAGCCATGGGTTTAAAACAAACAAACAAACAAAAAGTACAATCAACACGAGCTGAAGTAGGATAACACTCTTTTGTAAGCTTGGAGAGAGGAAAGAGTCAGAAGAGAGAGAACTCGGGCTCCAGAGATCCAGAGTCAGAGCCAGAAGGAGAGAGGTTCCAAGATTGGGGCCCAGGAGAGAAGGAGGCAGAGAAAGACAGGAGTGAAGAGGATTGGAATAAACTACTATTGATATAGACCGGCCTGGCCCTCGTTTCTTCTTCCGTCTGCCCTTGGCCAACAGCCGTTCCGATCCAGGCCACACACAGCGGCTCAAGAGCACCGAACGCAGGTGGTGAGACAGTGAGCCCGTGAACACACAACCTTCGGCGTGATAAGATTTTACAAGCTACTATTTGAAAACTTTTGATCTTTTTAAAAAATGAATAGTACAGCAGGTAGGGTGCTTATTACCTTGCATGTGACCAACTGGGTTCTTTCCCCAGTACCACATATGGTCCCTCAAGCACCAATAGAAGTGATTCCTGGGTGCTGAGAAAGGAGAAAGCCCTGAGCACTGCCAGGAGTGGTCCACAAATAAATAAAAAGCCAAATTCTTAACTTTAGCAATGTAATTTTTTTTTCTTTTTGGGTCACACCCGGTGATGCTCAGGGGTTACTCCTGGCTTTGCACTCAGGAATCACTCCTGACGGTGCTCAGGGGACCATATGGGATGCTGGGAATCGAACCCCGGTTGACTGCATGCAAGGCAAGCACCCTACCTGCTGTGCTATCGCTCCAGCCCCAGCAATGTAAATATTTTTAATGATGCCGGTAGTATTTATCTTCTGTTGATTTAAATAGTGGTAGGCATTAAAATGTGTTTTTTAATTGTATTTTTTTTTTGTATTGAATCAATGTGAGATACACAGTTACAGAGTTCATGTTTGGGTTTCAGTCATACAATGTTCCAACACCCATTCCTTTACTAGTGTACATTTCCCACCACCAATGTCCCCTGTTTCCCTCGTGCCACTCTCCTCAGCCGCCTCTTTTGGACATTACGATTTTAATACAGGTACCGAAAGGTTGTCACGTGTATCCCTTTACCACTGTTGCAGCACACAGTAAAAACATTTTCTTGCTGGAGAACCTTATACAAAAGTGACATGGTGCATATAGGTCATAATATATCCATTAAATCTCAGTACTGTTCATAGGACCTTTCTTTTTAATTGTCAGATAAACAGGTGATCTTTCTAGTAATATTCCTGATCTTGAAGCTGGCTGTTATTTACATCAGCATAATTATCCGTGGCAATGGTAATGATGCAGTCTTAATGCCCTGCATGCTGTCCCTAACGAGCAGCCGTGGATCTCTGGTCTCAGTAAGCCGGCAAGCTTAGGAGGGTGTGCATGGAGACCTGGGATGCACGGAGACTGAGTTGTACAGCAGTGTACAACTGCTAAGTCAGCAGACCTGATTCTGCCGGTCTTGGTTCAGCCACATTGTAGCACTGGACCTGGACTTGTTCTGAGTGTCCACTCTGCTCAGGCGCCTCGCGACTTAGACTTTTGGGGAATCTTGGGATGCAAATTGCCCAGCACTTTGGATGCTGTTTTTCACCTCATCCGGAAGAGAAATCAGAGCGAGGGGAGATGGTTTAACGTCTGGGGGTCTCGTGGCTTCCATTTCCTTGTCCACCTTGAGTCTGGTTGGAGCAAGGAGTCCTAGACAGTGTCTCTGCATTTGTTCTGGTGGCAGAAACCCATCCTGGGGCAGCAGCGCGCAGAGGAATCATTTCTTTCCTATCTGACTCAGTGTCTCTTTCGGGCCTGTTCCTGGGCTGTTCAGGAACAACTCCTGCTGGTTGATGAGCTCTCTCCATGTCTGCTTCACTCAGCCTGTCACGGTCACTTTGCCTTGACTGAGGGCCCGTCTTTCCTCTGCCCCACCCAGGAGCTGCGTCTCTGATGGATACCGAGGGCTTTGGCGAGCTCCTGCAGCAGGCTGAGCAGCTCGCTGCCGAGACCGAGGGCATTTCGGAGCTTCCCCATGTGGAACGGAACCTGCAGGAGATCCAGCAGGCGGGCGAGCGCCTGCGTTCCCGCACCCTCACGCGCACGTCCCAGGAGACAGCGGACGTCAAGGCGTGAGTACTGCTGGGGGGCAGCACTGGGACTGGGGGGCTCGGGTGAGGCTCCGTGTCTTCCTTCCCTCCTGCCTCGAGCTTGGGGGCGGTTTGGTGAATGACAGCCCTTCGCCAGATGCTTGGGAGCTCAGGCTCTCGTCAGCATCCTTGCGCTCCCTCTCCTGCTTGTGGAACTTCCCAGCCCAGCTGCCTCGTCCAGTCCTTGTTGCCCATAGCACTGGCAGACGTGGTCAGGCTGGGTAGAAGAATCTTGTCATGCGCTACACAGCAGCTGCCCGGGGTCACTGCTGCGTGGCTCATAAACTGCTCCCACAAGTACATTAGTACACGCGGGCCCTTCAGAGAAGCGTTAACCCTCAGAGCCAGCGCACGCTCAGCAGTGAGCGGCCTTTGAGAGCACTTGGGAGGAATTGATGAGCAGTGACGAGCAGCCCTGCAGAAGGTCCGTGGCTCTGCAGCTCGGAGTCAGGGGCTCCTGCGGCTGCTTCCGAAAAGCCTTGGAAGCGCAAGGAAGGTGGGCACGCTGGAGATGGGGCCGGCCGCTGCTGACACCAGCCTTGCTCACGCCGCTAGGGGTCCCCATTCAGCCTGGATCATCTCTGGGGCCGCCACCCTCACTTTGACACAGTCCTAACCTCAAGGACTTCATAATTTGAGAAAATCAGGAGGGGTAAAAGAACCTTGCTGCTTTTCATAGACATGATGTATTGAGAACTTCCTGTGCATTGGAGGCTTGTCTGATTTTGTATGGGGGCCACACCCAGCTCTGCACAAGCCTTACTCCTGGCTCTGCTCTCAGGGATCACTCTTGGGGGGCTGAGTGGTTCTGGGGACTGAACTGGGATTGGCTATGTGCAAAGCATGTGCTTTAAGCCCTGTAAGTATCTCCCGGCCTAGAAACTTGTCTGGATTTACAATTTTGTTTAATTCTCACAACTAGCATTTAGGCCTACTGGTTCCCTTTTTCCCGTTGAATAGCTCACACTCAGAGCAAGTGGCACCGCCAAGTCAATGGGTATTTATTATAATTAATAGTAGTACTTGTTGTTGTTGTTATTTTTGTGATAGTAGACACCGGGAAGCAACAATTCCTGGGTCACGTGGAAGTTCTAGTCTTAATTCTTAAAGGAGTCTGTACACTGTTGGAAGTTACTTCCTTGAGGCTGGAGTGATAGCCCAGCGGGTAGGGCATTTGCCTTGCACGCGGCCGGCCCGGGTTCAATTCCCAGCATCCGTATGGTCCCCTGAGCACCGTAAGGAGTGATTCCTAAGTGCAGAGCCAGGAGTAACCCCTGTGCATCACCAGGTGTGACCCCAAAATGAAAAACAAAAACAAAGAAAAAGAAAGTTACTTCCTTTCATCAGCTTTCTTTGGATCTAAACCCTCTGATTGTGCTGCTGAGCTAGTAAGGATGTTGGGGAAGCTCCTCTGTTGGTGACCCCAGAATCTCACTTTTTAAAGAATACTATAAGTCTGGGTTCTGTTGGTGTGGGAAAGGGCCAGCCAGGGAGCCTGGCTTAAGGGGTTGCTTTTGACCACCTGACCCTGTGGCTGAGGCCGTGTTTCTCACCCTGTCCCCTGTGCTCCTGCCGGCCTGGACACGCGTCTGCTTACTTGTGCTCCTCTGGGTGCCTGCAGACGCTGCGCCCGTGTTGTGCAGAGGCTGCTGGAGCCCAGGACCACGGTGCCAGCTGAGTCGCTATAGTTATCATTTAATTGCATCCGCTTCACAGCCTACTAAGAGCAAAGAGGGAAGATGCTTTCTTGGTAACAATTATCAGTCAGGCCTGCTTTCTTGTAAATTTCCATTCTTTTCTCATCTCTTTCTACCTTAAATTCATCATTTTAGGGAGGAGGAAGTTGGCATGTTGAAAGAATGGGTACCGGGTGGGGCACTTGTCTAAAATGAAACCAAAGAGTTGATGACTGTATTTTTCCATCTTCTCAATAGGCAGAGACATAACATGTGATGTGAATATTTTAGTACAGGATGAGGGCAGGGGAGAAAACTGAGTTGGAAAATTTTTCTTAAATGAAATGTTGAAGGCAAGCTGTGAGATTTTAGTTGTTAGATTATAGATCGAAGATTGAATTTTCTGTATACTCCATTGTTTAATGTATACTCCATTGCTTTGTTGCAGGTTGTATTTTAAGGAATAGATTTGGAAGCTTCTCTCTCTCTCTCTCTCTCTTTCTCTCCACACACACACTTTCAAAAAATTTTAAAATTTTTCGATATTGTTTGGGGGGCTACACCCTGCTGTGCTTAGGGCTTACTCCTGTGCTCTGCTCAGGGTTCTGGTGGTGCTCCAGGGTCAGATGCCATGCCGGGGATTGAACCCAGGTTGACTGTGTGCAAGACAAGCATCTTTCCCACTTTACAAACTCCCCGCTCACTGTAGTTGTTATTTTTAATAGTATACTTCATTCACACATAAAGAAGAATGTGCATAGAATATATAAAATATAAATCCAGCTTTCGCAGAACTTCAGCACTTGTCCCAAACCCAGCTTGCCACTGGTTCACGTTCCTTGGGCTGCAGTGACACGTTGGTGTTCTCTGTGCTGCCCTTGCTGTAGCCACAGAGATGTGGAGTTGTGGCAGAGACGGTAGCATCTGGATGCTGGAGTATTTTCTCTCTGTTTTGGAAGTTGGCTGACTCCATGAATACCTGTGGCACTTACGCCAGTTAAGACAGAATGGGACCAATAGCTGCAAGTCATTGGGCACCCACCCTTGCTCTCATCAGGAATGACTCTTAGGATCTCCGAGTCAGACTCCAAAGTCACACAGCTTGGAGGTGTGCCCAAAAAAATCATCCATGGTTTCCTTTCCCTAACTTAATGTTCTCAAAGACAGACCAGTATTGTCATTCTCTCTCATGTTTCCTTCATGATCATGCAAAGCTTAGCACTGCACTGCACTGTCCTCTTGTTGTTCATCAATTTGCTCGAGCGGGCACCAGTAACATCTCCATTGTGAGACTTCTTGTTACTGTGTTTGGCATATCGAATACGTCACGGGGAGCTTGCCAGACTTGGCCGTGCGGGTGAGATACTTACTCTCGGTAGCTTGCTGGGCTCTCCGAGAGGGGCAGAGGAATTGAACCTGGGTGGCCAGGCCAGCCGCGTGCAAGGCAAATGCCCTACTGCTGTGCTATTGCTCCAGCCCATGCAGGGCAGATCTGTTTATTTTCCCAAAGGTGTGCAACAAATCATAACTGTTTTTAGGCTAATGAACTATAGATTTGCTTTCTAAAATACTTTCTGTTAGTCAGGTGTTATGCTGGCACCTTTGCACGCCAGATCTGTGCTTCTCAGAGTGAGCCTGTGAAATAAGGAAGGGCCCCTGTCTCGGTGGTTGAGGCGCATCAGGTAACAGGTATCCAGATCAGAACTGGAAGTCCAGTGTGGTCAGTAAGAACCGCTGACATTGGTGGTTGGTGTCCTTCTGCCTGGTCTTCACAAACCGGAGAGGCGGGAGAGGAAGGGTTTTAGGGTTTTTGGGTTTTGTTTTGGGGCCACACGCACCAGTGCCTGGCTCTGCACTCAGGGATCACTCCTGGTGGGGCTCAGGGATGGAATGTGGTGCTGGGGACCCAACTGGAATGGACAAGTGCAGGATAAGTATCTCACCCGCTGAAATGTCGCTTCAGCCCCAGGCAGCGACGATCCGCCCTGACCTCCCGTGTCTCTGGGAGAAGGACACTCGGAAATGCAGGGTGCGAGGTTCTCAGAGAGTGACGGGTGCTGCTCGGCTGTCTCCCAACTTGCTCTCTGCTCCCCGCTTATCCCCTGCCCTCCTGCTCTCTTGGGCCAGCAGCCCTGGGCCTTTCCATCTAGGAGCTGCCACCTGGCTTATGGACTTAGGGCAGGAAGCTGGAGGTTTCTGATAGAGCCTTTATTTATTTATTTATTTATTTATTTATTTATTTATTTTAATGAATCACCAAGAGATACAGTTACCAATTTACAAACTTGCGTGATTGTATTTCAGTCATACAGTGATCGAGTACCCATCCCTCCATCAGTGCCCATTCTCCACCACCAGTGTTCCCAGTATCCCTCCCGCCACCCCCGACTATCCCCCTGCTTCTGTGGCAGGCACATTCCCTTTTACTCTCTCTTTCCTTTTGGGTGTTATGGTTCGCAATACGGATACTAAGTGGTCCTCATGTTTGGTGTTATAGCCTACTTTCAGCACACATCTCCCATCCCGAGCGAGCCCTCCAAGCATCCTTTACTTGGTGGTCCCTTCTCTATCTCAGCTGCCTTTTCCCCCAGCATGTGCTGCCGGCTTCCAAGCCGTGGAGCAAACCTCCTGGTCCTTATCTCTACTATCTGTGGGTGTTAGTCTCCCATTCTGTTACTTTATATTCCACAAATGAGTGCAGCCCTTCTATGTCTGTCCCTCTCTCTCTCTGACTCATTTCACTTAGGAGCCTTTATTTTTAAAACGATCTCTACCTTCGGTCTCCTGCCTCCTTCATCAGTCCTTCTCTGTCCCCACGTTGGACTCCCACGTAGGTATTGCTAGGAATTAGAATAGATGCTACCGGAGTGATTCCAGGACACGGTGAGTAAAATAGAAATACCAGTGCAAAAGAATGCTGCAGACTCTCATTTTAACTTAAGAAAGCAAGTGAAACAGGTTCTTTATTCATGGATTGGAGGTCTTAAGATTATTAATATCTTAATGCCCCCAAATTGAACTAGATCGATTCAGTGCACTCCCTCTCAAAATCTCAGTGGGCTCTGTGTTTTTTTTTTTTCTTCAAGAAATTGACAAGTTGATCCTAAAATACAAGAGACTAGTAAGGCCAAAATGAGTCTTGCAAAAGCAAAAGAAAGTTAGAAAACTCACAGTTCTACTGATTTTGTTTTTGGCCACACCTGGTAGGGTTCAGGGCTTATTTCTGGCTCTGTGCTCAAGGGTCACACCTGGTGAGCTCAGGGGACCATATGCGGTGCCGGGGATCGAATCCTGTTCGACTGTGTGCACAGCAAGTGTCCTGCCCTCAGTCATATCTCTCAGGCCCCACAACTCACATTTCTTTTTTTTTTTATAGCAATTTTTTTTTATTTAAGAAAAAAATACACAGTTTTTAAAATTTGGTCTGATTCAGACCTCACTTGCTGTTTTACATAAAGCCAATCCTGGCACAAGAATTTGGGAACTTGTAATTTATGTAAAGGCTAATTCTAGGAAGCACAATGGAGGGAACAGGTAAAAATGGAAAACTCACATTTCTAGTTTCAAAATGTCCTGTCAACCTGTAGTAATGGAGACTGTAGTACTGGCATAAGGGTAGACCTGCAGATTAATCAAATAGAACTATGAGTCCAGAAATAAACACCCCTTATCTGTGATCTGCTGAGTTTCAACAATGTCCTGACTAATGAGAAAAGAATACTGTTTTCAGCAGTATACGAGTACAGCTGGGTATCTCGTACCCAAAGAAATAGCATACACTAAATATCAGCTTCAGTTGTATCACAGACCTAGAACTAAAACTAAGAGCTAAAACTTGAATCATCATCTGGATTTTAAATCAGAAAAGCACAAGTGACAGACTCAAAACAAAACCAAAAAATCACTAAATTCACCTTCACCAAAATCAGAGGCTTTTGGGGCTGGAGTGATAGCATAGAGGGTAGGGCGTTTGCCTTGCACGCGGCCGACCCGGGTTCGATTCCCAGTATCCTGTATGGTCCCCTGTGCACTGCCAGGAGTAATTTCTGAGTGAAGAGCCAGGAGTAACCCCTGAGCACCGCTGGGTGTGACCCCAAAAAGCAAAAAAAAAAAAAACAAAAAAAAAAAACAAAGGCTTTTGTCCTTCACAGGACACTCGAAGAGAATGAGGAGACAGGCTCTCCCTCGAGCACGGGTCGCCTGCTCATTTTCTGATCTGGTGAAGCCTGTGTTCTCTCTGAACAGACGCTTCTCCCTTTCTCTCCACTGACAGCATTGTAAATTAAGTTTCAATAGAAAACGTTCTTGCTTCACCAAGAAGGCACGATGCAAGGAAAGAAGGATTCCACAAAACAGGGGGGAAAAATTTGTAAGTTATTTATCCGATAAAAGAGGCTAGTGTCCAGAGGATGAAGCTGCTCTCCAAAGACTGGATCTTTATTTGTTCGATTTATGCGCAGTATTCAGATAGTAGAGGTAGAGAGGTAGGAAGTGGGGTTGTGATGGGCTCTGAAACGGTGACCGTTGCCAGTGACTCTGAGTGTAACGGCAACTACCAGGTTGCTGTACATCAGCGAATTGTATGATGATGAGTTATGTCTTGGTGACGGCGTGAGTAAAAAGCAGAAAAGGAAAGGATGGAGGGCATTAGAACCACACCCAGACTCCAGGCTTCACCCAGTGCTCACCCAGAGGACTGGAAAGGCAGTCGGTGGCTGCACTGTGCATCAGGGGCTAAGAGATGTATCCATGTGTTTGCTGGTAAAGATTTGCGAAAGGGAGGGGAAGGCTGGTGTTTCTGCCCGAAAGCCTGGTGATGCCGCTTCCAGGATGGCATGGGAGTCGTATAGCTGCATGGCAGAGACAAATCTATACAGGAGACCATTCTGTATACAGCCTCTGTTTCTGTAGAACTACTTGGTAGAGTAAAAATGGAAACGTGAATTCCTTTCTTTTACCATTAAGTGTGTTCAGGATGGGGAATCTCGGGTGCCATGCCTTACAGGTTTTAGGGCTACTGATGCTGCCAAATTTCTGAGTTATTCAGAAGAAAACAGAACTTTCAGATTTTATTTTTTGAGGGGAAAAACCATTATAATTCAGAGCAGCAATCCAAAATTTTTTTATCTAGTTCCCTAAGCTTCTTTTGGAAATGTTTCAGACATTTGTGAGACTCTGTTTTTTTTTTTGGTTCTTTTTTTGGTTTGTTTGTTTTGTTTTGTTTTGTTTTTCTCTTCATTGTTCATTGTTACGGGCTGGAGCGATAGCACAGCGGCAGGGCGTTCGCCTTACAAGCGGCCAACATGGCCCACCCGGGTTCGATTCCTCCGCCCCTCTCGGAGAGCCCGGCAAGCTACCGAGAGTATTCGATATGCCAGACACAGTAACAACAAAGTCTCCAATGGAGACGTCGCTCGAGCAAATCGAGGATCAACGGGAGGGCCTTTTTCATTGTTACATTGTCCCAGATAAGCAGAAATAAAGCTAGCCTATTCCCATCACAATAAATTTAAAAGCATTTATTGGTCTGATAACAGCTTCCTGTATTGGACTGGGGGCAGAGGAGAGCTTGAAGATGCACTGCAGATGACATTTGACTTTTGAAGAGAAGCCTTGGCGAGTTGGCCTTAGATCTTTTGCAATCACTGATCACTCTGGACTTTTAGCTTCCTCACCTAATAATGTTTCAGTAGCCTTATTCCTGAAGCTTCTAAAATTTTGTGGTTCCGGACCCCAAACCAAAATGCATTCCTCTGTTCAGTGCATTGAATTTTAGCTATTCATAATATTTGGCCAAAGTTTTGGACAAACTTGCAGGCTATCGAATGTAGCCTGCCCACAGGGCAGAGTCTGGCAAACTCCCCGTGGCGTACCAAATATGCCAAATACCAGTAACAATGATGGGTCTCATTCTCCTAAAGAGCCTTGAATATAATCTCAGGGCTAGGATGAAAGAGACGTTACTGGGGCCTGCTCGAGGCAATCGACGAATAACAGGATGATGAAATGAAATGAAAAAAGTATTTGGCTGTTCATAATAGCCAAAATCTGTAAACAACCCCGGTGCCCAGGAACAGATGAGGGGATAAAGAAACTTGTACACCATGGAATACTACCCAGCCAAAAGGAAAGATGAAGTGACTCAGTTTGCTGATACAGGGATGGATCTGGAGTATCATGCTGAGTGAAATGAGTCAAAGGGAGAAGGAGAGATGCAGAATGATCTCACTTTGTGACAGTAAAGGAACATAGTTGGGGAATAACTAATGCCCAGAGGCAGTGGAAATGAAGAGCAGGAGCACTTAGTAGGACTCTTGCCTCAGTGCGGGGCGGGGAACAGGTCAGGGAAGGGACCGCGACAGCAGTGATGGAGGGGAGGGCTTACTCTGGACGGGGACTGGGTGGTGAAAGTGGGCCAAGTGAAAGGCGCTGTTTGATCAGAAACAGTGTCGAAAAGCCGCAGTGCCTGAAAGGGGATGTGGGGGGAGGTGCCTGCCCAAGAGGCAGGCTGGAAGCGGGAGGGAAGGTGGGGACCGTAGATGGAATGAAGTGGGCAGCTGCGAAGGGGTCAGTATTGGAACATTGTACATCTGAAACCCAGTGAATAGCTTCGTAATTCGTGGTTATTGAATAAAGTTTTGTGCTTCACCGTACCTGTCTTTACAAAGGTCTAAAAGAGCAGTGGTCGGCGCATATGCTGCCCGAGCCCATGTGCTGTTTGTGCCCACGTGGCCGAGCACATGTGGTGCTCGAGCACATGTGTCGCTCACATCTTCCCTCTTGAAATGTGTACTTTCATGCTTTCGTGTCTGATGCCGGCATGTGCGTAGAGGCTCTCTCCGCCCTTGGAGAAGCCCGTGTTCTCTCTTAGTACGTTACTCTCTCTCCCTCCACACCTTAAAAATCCTTCAAATAAAGTCTGTTTATTTAAAAAAAAAGAATCAGTGGTCTTCAGCCTCTGGTTGTAGGCAGGGTGAAGACAGGTCGGAGAACTGGTAGAGCAGGTGGAACCTTGCGTGTTGCCGACCCAGGCTTGCTCACTGGCACCACATCTGGTGCCCTGAGGTGATTCCTGACCACTGAACCTTCCTGGGTTTCTTTACCTTGAGGTTTGTTGTTCTCTTGCCCACCCCGTGGTTTTCAACCTCTTAGTTTGCTTTGTTTTTGTTTGGGGGCCACACCCGAGGATGCTCAGGGATTACACCTGACTCAGATCACTTGGGAGTGGGGCTTGAGGGCCTGTGATCAGTGTTGGGGACCCAATGCAGGACAGCTGCGTGCAAGGCGAGTGCTTTATCCGCTGTCCTCTCTCTGGTTCGTTGCCCCTCATCCCCTCCGGCCCTGTAGAGTGGTGTTCAACAGTAACTTTTTCAGAGATTAGCACCAGTGTGTGCAACTCTGTTGGGAACTATTGATCTGGTCTCTTTTTTTTTTTCTTTTTGGGTCACACCCGGCGATGCTCAGGGGTTACTCCTGGCTTTGCACTCAGAAATTACTCCTGGTGGTGCTCAGGGGACCAGATGGGTTGCTGGAAATTGAACCCGGATCGGCCGCGTGCAAGGCAAATGCCCTACCCGCTGTGCTATCACTCCAGCCCGATCTGGTCTCAGTTTATTCCAAGTCAGGCATGATCCGGATGTTCTTTCTTATCACCAGGTGTAGCTTTATTTCTGTCACTTCAGGTGAGGGATCTTTAAGGAGGGCTATCCAAAACAGCCCTCTGGAACTGGGGGGCTTTGAATAAAGAGTACTGTGGTGTTCCGTGAGACGTCTGAGATGCTCTAACCCTTTCTCTCGGTGCTTCTGCCCTCCTAGGTCGGTTCTTCTGGGGTCTCGGGGACTCGACATATCTCACATCTCGCAGCGACTGGAGAGTCTGAGCGCAGCCACCACCTTTGAGCCGCTCGAACCGGTGAAGGACACAGACATTCAGGTGAGGGGTGCGGGAGAACCTCGCGGCACAGGCGGGGACACCTGCCCGTGTGGCCGAGGGCCAAGGCCCAGGGCCTTCGCTGACCAGCTGACTTAGGAATTCAGCATGCTGCTGTGGCTTCTCTTTTTCCAAGAATAAGAGAGCAGGAGATTTGGCTCTCGAAGTGTGGTGGGGAGCACGGGCCTGTTCTCGCACTGCTCTGGGAGGTGCAATTGAAGACAGCCATCCTGACCTGCGCTGTCCAGGTCACTGCCACTCTGAGGACAGATTTCTTTTCTTTCCTCGGGCCCAATCCAAGGCCAAGAGACGTTAGTTGTAAGTCTCTCTTGTTTCCTTTGCTAGACGTCAAATAATCTTTACGATTTGTCTTTCTCGTTTCTTTTCTACATCTCGCTTGTGTTGGTGGGCAAAGAGCTGGGGAAAATTTAGAGTACTGTTTACTGAAACCTGCCATTGATTTCTAGGAAGTAGTTGGCTGCATTAGTGGCACCAGGAAATGGTCTAATAGAGCACTCCAGTCTCATTTAGCCTCGCGTGCCACGGGCACAATTTATTGCTATTTTAATCTGATCAGAGATGAGTGTGTGTTCGTGTGTGTGCGCGCACACACAGTTATTAAGGAAAAAAATTGTCCATTTAGTCTTGAGGAATTGGAACATTGCATTTGAGCTAGAGTGAAGGGACGGTGGCGTATCATTTTTATCAGTGATTTATCCTCGAAATGAGAGGATGCGGGTCAACTTAACACAAATGGAGACGAATTGTGTTGCTGGATATTTCAGGATTTGCTTGAATTGATGCACTCTATCACGCTCCTCTTCCCGGGAACTGCTTGAAGGGCTCTGACGGCCACGATTCTGTTGTATGTATTCCAGATAAGAGGCCTTGTACTTGGAGTTGAGAACGGCATCCGTTGTGAATAGTCATTCTTTTCCTTGGGTTTTGGGAGAGGGGAATTAGGCCACCCCCGGCAGTGCTCAGGAGTCACACCCAAGTATTGACCCCACCTGCCCAGGTGCCTGAGTACTATTGGGAGTGGCTTTCAGAAACCCTGAGACTTTCCTGGAGCACTCTCTCCCACCCCCCAGTTCTCCCAACCTCTCAGGGTGAAAAAAGCCTCATTTTCATGTAGTTGTGAGGAGACATGAAGTCTTCATTCGTACACTTATTATTATTTTACATTTTGCCTGTTCTCTTTTCATCTTCTCTTTGAACTCTGAATGCCCTATAAAATTTTTACAACAGGGATGAGGTGGATGAATGAGATGGAGTGCATTTGAATAATCACCATATATTTGGGGTCTTATCCTCAAGAGTGTAGGAAGACATGACACGTGCTGAAGAAAACTGTTGTTTCTCAGGTTTAAAATGCCGAAGGGGTTCGTTTTACATTTCTTTGTCACATTTGGTAGACCCAGCAGCATCACGGGTTTCTACTGGAATGGTTCTCTGGTTTCTGCTTTGAGGTACTGATGACAGGTTTAGAAATATGTTGACTCATAATGATTATCTCCTCTACCCCTCTGTTTAATGCATGAACACTCTTCTGCAACACCCCCATTAGGCGGTTTCCTAGCAATGTGTGCTCGGTCACATCAAAGAGAGCTGCTTAATTTGGAATGAGACTGAGTCTGAGTTTAGTGCTGCACCTCTGGGAAATCTTTGAACCTCCATGTCAGAGTTTGACCTCAAACTCTGACTTTTGTGGAATAGCTTTAGAAGGTGAAGTGTTAGCCAGGTAACTCTTGATTAATTAGGAACTGATGATCCTGACCTGAAATAAAAATTTAGGTGAATGTGTGACTTACTATTTCTGGGAGTTTGTTTGATGAGCTGCTGGTTTTAAAATCAGCCCTCTGTTGACTTTATATGCTTGCCAGCAAAGCCTTTTGAAGCAGAAAGTTGAAGTTTGATTTTGTTTTTTGGGCCACATCCGGTATTGCTCGGGGGTTTATTCCTGCCTTTGCACTCAGGAATCATTCTGGCAGCCTCAGGGGACCCCGTGGGGTGCGAGGGATTGAACCCAGGTTGGCCGCATGCAAGGCAAATGCCCTATCTGTTCTACCGTCTTTCCAGCCTCAAAAATTTGCTTTTTAAAAAGTCGGGGCTTGACTTGGTCTGTGATGGCTCTAGTCAGTGGTCAGGATTGGAGGCCATAAGTTGTATTGTGTGCCTCAGTCGCCTTTGCTGTAATTTGCTACCAGCAGAGTCAAGTCCTTGCCTGACTTCTTTAGGTAGAGTTGGGGGCAGGGGTGATGGGTTAGGAATCAAACCCCTACCTCATACATGCCAGACACATGCCCTGACTGTGAGCTAGTAGGGCACATCCTCCACCCCTAACTTACGCAGTAGTCAGAAGACATGCCAGCGCCCACCTTTAATCACAGAACGACCTTCTTCTTTACCCCTTGCATAGTAGGTGGTGGTTGTGTGAGAAGAGTAACCATCTTAATATCTCTTAGAAAAACCGGTCAATATCCCAATGTATTTTTTCCCCCTCATTTACCTTAATGCCTTTAATTGAAATAGAGTTCTATGAGAGAAATAGATCTAATGTACCATGGATGATGTGTTATGTCGTGAACAAAAGTTTAGTTATTTGCAGGCCGATTGTATTCTGGCCTTTCCCTCGAGTGTGAGCATTTCAGGGAAACTGTCGAAATAGCCCGAATTGCCCCTGAAAATGGACGCTGTAGTTTCTCAGCATCAGGCTGTGATAGTTTGTTGTGGCAGCCCACTAACCTAATAAAGTTCAGCGATGGTATTGTTTATAAATTCAGATTAAACTCCCAGGGCTAAGCCACGACAAATGCCACCAGTTTAGTGGTTTAAGACATTAGAAGTTTATTTCCTTTTAGTTCTGATGGCTAGAACTTTGAAAATCTGCGAGTCGAGGGCATCACTCCCTCCCGGTCCCGCTTCTCAAGGTGTCGCTGATTTGTGGCGCTCCTGCTCCGGTGTCCTGTGTTCTGGGTGTGTGTTCAGATCGACCTCCCCTTCTCTCAGAAGGTCCCCGCTCACACAGGCCCTCCCCAAACACGGGAGCGACTCATCTTGAGGTCCTTAAATTACATTTGCCAAGCTATTTCCAGTGAAGGCACTCACAGATGCTAGGAGTTAGCCTTGGACGTCTCTTTCTGCAGATACACTGAGCCCCCTATAGTGCCAGAACGTTGCGAACTAAATTCATTGTAGCTAACAGCATCTGCGCATCGAGTTCTCACAGCTGTGAGGAGTGCTGGGCAAGGCACCTGCTGTCCATGTGACTGAGTGCGGGCTTGGCCCAGTGTCGGGCTCATCCTCTGGTCCTCTCACGGGCTGCTGGGAAGTGAGGTGGGCTGCCCATGGGATGCCAGGACCGAAGCCGGCTTGATCCCGGGCACGGCGAACTCCCTGCCCTCTTGTCTCTCTAGCCCCTGGACAGACATTTTCAACCGGGAAGTGTTTATACTTCGGCCACCCAATTTCTTAACCTTTTCTTTCACCTGTTGGACTTGAGGTCTTTGCTCACCACTTTGGTGGCCTGCAATAGCACTTTTTAATTTTTATTAAAACACCGTGGTTTACAAAGTTGCTCCTAATACAATTGTTTCAGTCATTTAGTGTTCCAACCGGAGTGACCTTTCCTCCACTAGTGTCCCCAATTTCCCTCCTAATCCCAATCTGCACCCTTAGGTACATAACACATTTACTTTATGTTCCTTGATAGCATCTTTTTAATGTCTGTCACTGTCACTGTCCTCCCGTTGTTCATTGATTTGCTCGAGCGGGCCCAGTAACGTCTCCATTGGAGACTTTTGTTGTTACTGTGTTTGGCATATCGAATACATCACGGGTAGCTTGCCAGGCTCTGCCGTGTGGGTGAGATACTCTCGGTAGCTTGCCGGGCTCTCCGAGAGGGGCGGAGGAATCGAACTCGGGTCGGCCATGTTGGCTGTGTGCAAGGCAAACACCCTACCGCTGTGCTATCGCTCTAGCCCTTTTAATGTCTAATTTCTTAATTTCAGTCTAACACACTAAGACTTTCCTTGTGTATTAGTTTTTTCAGTCTTCTCAAATATCTCTTCTATTAGTCTGCAAATCTAGTATGTTGGCTTTGCAGCTTAGGGGAAAAAACCCAAAATATTCTTAATGTTTCCCTATAGAGTAAACAAATTTAGATTCTGTTGCTGAAATTGACTTAGCAGCCAATGCAAGTCTCAGCTAAGTGAAAATTCATCCTCTTCTGTCTTAATGTCTTCTTTGAGAACGTTAAAATTAAACTCTCAAAAGAAAGGATAAAGTAATTAATGAGAAAGAATCAAAGAGAGACTGATTCATTACATATAAGACTAACTTTGCTATTCTGATTATTTCTTAGAAATTTGTTTTGCTTACACGGTAACCATATAAAACATTCATTATTTCTTTCATTTTTTTCTGTCTCTGGCCTTAGAAAAATGAAGCATGTTAAGACCAATCTTCGCTTATCTTTTAAATAATAAGAAAAGCATAAATGGCTTTGGTAAGCATAAAAATGAATTATTCGGGGGCAGGAGAGATAGTGCGACTGGCAAGGTGCTTGCTTTGCACCCAGACGACCCAGGTTCAATCTGTGGCACCCCATATGATTCCCTGAGCACCACCAGGTGTGATTACTGAGTGCAGAGCCAAGAGTCAGCCCTCGTATTACTGGCTATGGCCCAGCATCCTCCTCAAATTAAGATATGACTGTTTAGATGCAGCTACATAATAGCTAAAAGGAAATGGAGTTGAGTTGTTGGTTACTTGTGTGTTTGTAATAAATAGTGGCAAGTTGTTGATAAGGAATTGATTTCAGAAATTTGTTGGCAGTTTTATGGAAACTGGTTGTCTAGCCTGGCTGGAGTGCAGGGATGTTACTGGCAAGATAGATTGAGGAAGAATGTATATGAAGCTTTCCCTACTCGGAATCAGTTGAGGGAAAGAGAGTGGGTGGACAATACTTAATTCCGGGATTATTTTAAAGGGATTTTAGAGTA